TAATTTTTGATATAATATATATTTATTTATAATATTGAAAAACCAAAAACAAATTTAATGTTTAACAGATCGTATAACACCCTTTCACATTTTTTTTTTTTTATTTAATTCAAAATTAAATTCATATTCAAATACATAATAAATATTATATAATTAACTATTTATTATTATATTATTTAATTATTATTTATTTATTTATTTATTTATTAATAATTGGTAGAAAAAAAATTTTAAGCATTTAACGTGTCGTATTACACATTTTTTTTTTTTTTAATTTGAAAAACCACACCTCTGTTTTTATTTAATGCATATTTATAAAACAAAAATGCATAGTATGATTCATGATGTATATATATATATATATATATATAATATTCACTTGCATATTTCTATGTTCGAATATGCAATTTTACCTTGACTCGAATACCCGCATTCTCTTTCAGCTATTGCTAAAAATAATCGAAGATATATAATATCGATCAGTTGATAAATATATGTATGTATGTATATATATATAGTATTACTTTTACATATTATATATAAATATATACATATATGCATGTATAAATATTACACACGTTGATCCCTTGTAATTAATATTTGTTATTAAGTTAATAGAAAAATTAAATTGTTCAATATATTAAAATTGATGAGTTTATAATCGGATTATTTATAAATACAATTCTTTTTTTTTTCTTCATACACGTTTACAAAATAAAATATTCTATTAACAAAATTGAAAAAAATTAATTGATATAATATTATCAAAAATAAATAATTTTAATTACAAAGGATCATATTGAAATTCTATTTGCAATTTTAGTACGCTTATTAGAAAAAAAAAAAACAAAAAACGAAAAAATAATTAAACAATTAAATTTCAAACGAAAAAAAAAATTCTCTACTACTTTGCAAATTTTGCACGAGATAATTAATTATTATTATTATACAAAAATTCAAATAAATTTGCAAGAATAAAAGAAAGAACGAACAAACGAACAAACAAAAATATAAAAAAAAGGGAAAATAGAAGAAAAATCATATTTATCTTTCTTTATTTTTTTTTCACTTTTCAGAACGACGGATAAATGCCTGAATGATACGAACAGCTGACCATCGCCAGGGACAAGTTTACAAAAAAAAAAAAAAAAAAAAAATAATTAAAAGAAAAAAACCAAAAATAAAATAAATAAAAAATAAACACGACCAAATATTATACCAAAAGAGATGAGAAATTAAAAACGAATTATCTTCGTTTCTTCTCTCTGCACGATGTTTTAATAATAATAATAATAATAATAATAATAATAATAATAATAATAATAACAATAATAATAATACTAATACTAATACTACTATTACTAATACTAATACTAATATTATTACTACTACTACTACTAATAATAATAATAATAATAATGAAATAATAATTATACGAAACTCTACCGAATTCACAATTTCAATATAAACAATATACATATATACATATATATATATTTATATGTATACATATATATATATACATATCCGTCTTTAAACGTTGTTGAATGAAACTATGAAATTACTTTATGAAAAACTATTTCTTTCTTTCTTTATTTCTCTTGGTCACTTTTTTCATAATTCAATCATTTTTCTATAATTAATTTTTCATTATTTTTTAAACAATTTTTCTTTCAGCATTCAACCGAAGTATTGTACGTACATATATATGCATTATTTAAATTGTACAAATTTAAAATGAACATTTATTTTTCTTTATTGTTTTTTTTTTTTTTGGTTTTTTTTTCTTTGCTTTTCTTTTTAATAATTTCTCATAATTCTTCATATATAATTTTTTCTAATTAATTTTCTTTTTTAGCATTCAACTGAAGTACGTATGTATTATATATACACATGTGTAGATGTTTATATTTGAATTCCGCTTTTTTAATTAAGCATTTAAGAGCCCATGTTTTGTATAACCTTTTTTTTTATTATTTTTAATTATAATATGTGCTGGTAAAATTTTGTTAAAAGAAACTAGGACAATTATATATATATATATATATATATATATATATAATATATGTATATAAGTATATGTAATACTTATTATACATATATGTAAATGTATGCATATTTAAAATTTCAAATTAGTTTTGTATCGTAACCATTTTTTTATAAAAATATCAACATTTCTTATTTATATATTTTTTGTTCTGTTTTAATGAAGTTTTTTTTTTTTGTTGGATTATTTTATTTAACCAAAATAATTTCAATAATTAGTAGTTCATTTTAATTGTAAAATTTAATTTATTTTTCTTGTACTTTTCTTTAATTTCAAAATCTTGTTTTTTTTCTAAATTTTTCGTTTCTCATTTATTTCAATTAAATATTTTGCAAACATACATGCCTGTTGTTTAAAATTAAAATACTGTAAAACTGATACTGTAAAACTTTACACGTTAACTATTATTTTATTTTATTTTATTTTATTTTGTTTTCTTTTTCCTCTGGCAATATTTTTCTTTCATTTTATCAATGGAATTATTTTTTCCAATATTTCTTCCTTATCAAATTCGTTCAAAATTTAACAATAACAACAACATCAACAAAATATGTATATACATATTTAAATATTATAAAAATTCATCATAACAATGAAAACCCCATATGAAAACTATCTCTCTCTCTCTCTTTTTTCATTTATCCACCTTTCGCAATATCATTTTTATACATTTTTCTTTACATACATATAAAAAAAAAAATAAATAAAAAATAAAAAAAAAAACAAAAAAAAATAAATTTTCAGCGTTCAACGATTAAATAAAATATTACGTATAAATTACTTCAAACAAAAATAGGTAAGTTATTAGGTGTGACGATGATTTTTATAATAAAAAAAAATAACCTTTTTACATCAAATTTATCTAACCAAAGAAAAAAATATATACATATATATATGTGTGTGTGATATTTAAAAACAAATTAAAAATAAAAAATATAAAAAAGAAGAATGAGCATGAACCAGTATATAAAATATTAACCAACACCATTATGAAGTTTTGATGGATAAAAATAATTGATATCATCGATGGATCATCGATTTTAACAACGATAATGAAAATATTTCAAATATTTCAAGTACACACACACATTGTGTACATTTGTATTCGAATTTTTGAGTGTGTAATTGGTACGTGTGTTAATTATACACATATTATTTTTTTTTTCCATATTTAACTGTCATAATAATTTATTTTTTTTTTACTTATCTTTTTGGCGTTTGTCTTTCATATACGTATATATATATATATATATACATGTATGTGCATATTAGTTTTGAACGATAGCCTAAGTACACACGAACATATTTTATAGGTCAACTATAAAATGCAAGTTGCATAATAATATCGTTGGCACAAGTAAAAGCTTGTTTTCTTAAAAATAAAATAATTCAGTTCTACTTTTTCGAATATTCTAATTCTTATTTATATACGTATATACATATAAAATATTAATTATACATGTTTTCAGTTAAAATTAAAAAAAAAAAAAAACAGGGATATATATATATAACGAGAAGAGCAAAACCTTAAAGGTTTGAAACTTTAAAAATGATTTAATTACTGCCTTGTGTAAAAATAAAATGTGATTGTACATAAAATAGATTTATTCGTACTTTATTATTATATAATTACATTTAAACATATAAATAATCCTATCCCATTTTGTCAAATTAATTATTTACTTATGTAATAATAATTATTATTATTATTATAATAATTTATTATATATTATAATATATCGTTTAATATATTATATGAAATAATAATAATAATTATTATTATTATAATAGTTAATGTATTAAGTGTAATATAAATTATAATAATAATTATTTATTTATTTATTTATTTATGTAATATTATATTTTAAAGGTTTGTGGTTTTTATTTTATTTTACGACCGAGTTTGCCTTATTTTGCAAATCTCGGACGTGCTTTGTTCATATTTATTTATTTATTTATATATTTATTTATTTATTTGTATTTTTTTTTTATTTTATATAGAAATAATGTTTCAATTTAGTTTAATATGAAAAATTACGAGGAATTATATAAAATAAGAACGAAATGTTTATTATCAATCAAAGCTGATTATCGTGAAACATTACGTTCTCTCTCACGAAATATTATTATTAATAATAATTATTTAATATTATTGATAAAAATGTGTTTGCGAGAAATGTTGTTTCTTTTTAAATCGAACTTTTTTCATTCCTCTTCATAGGATTTATCTTTAATAATTTTCTGCTTTTAATAGTAATCGCCATATTTTATACGCTAAAGTCGACAATGTTGTGTAATATTTGATTAAGATCTTATTTAATATTTTTATATATATATATATTTACATTTACGCTTTTTTTTTTTTATAAAAATTCCTTATTAGATAATTGAGTATTAAATAATATTCCGTTTATAATTAGAAGCTATACAAAAGTAGAAACCTATAAAAAAGAATAAGAAAAAAAAATGTTATAAATTAAAATACACATATTTATACATATATATAAAAAAAAAAATATATAAAAAATTAAATGAAATGAACGAAAGAAATAATAAGAATGAAATTAAACAACAGAAAAGTAGCAGAAATATTTAACCATGTATTGTTTAATTAATAGATTATCATATTGTCAACATCTGTATAATAAAAATGGTTGCTAATGATTTCATTTTTAAAAATAAATTTTCATTGAAATAAAAAAGGAAATACTTTTATATAAAAATATATTTAATGAAAAATAAAATGAATGCAAAAATATAATATACCTATTTGTATAAGTATAAATATGTGTATAAAATAAACTAGAAAAATTAGATGAAAATAAATAATAGTAGAGAAAAAAAAAAAGAAAAAAAGAAAGAAATAATAATAGAAATATTGTAAAAAANAAAAAACAACAGGACAAGGATGAGAAGCTAATTGTTTAAATTTTATCTTCCTGGGTATGATCAGAGGGTACCACCGATCTGTACGGTCCGACGCAGTCGAAGTTTCCCGAACGATGAGAGTGAAACAACCGATCGTGCTGCAGATTTTGAAGATTTCTTATCATCCAGATCAGGTAAGTTTTGTTTGATAATAAAAAAGAAAAAAAACAGAAAGAAAGAAAGAAAAAAAAATACAATTTAAACGGAATACTTACGATGTTTCTCAGGTGTGACCGGTGTTTCAACGGAGCAGCAGCAAGAAAGAAAGGAAGACGATAATCAAAGATCTCAGAAACAACATCAGCAAGATCAGCTGAAACGTGACGAAAAACAAGAAAATGAAGAACAGGAAGAAGAAGAAGAATCAGTAAAATGTGCGTTGGTGTTGAGTGTGGAGGAGAAGGAGGAGGAGGAGGAGGAGGAAGAAGAAGAAGAGGATCATTGGAAAGATGCATCACCGTTAACCCCAATTTGTAGTCCTACGATGAAAAAACAATTAAAAATTACATCAAAGAAAAAAGAAGAAGAAGAAGAAGAAATGGATTATACTTCAAGAAAATTGTACACACGTACACTTCCAGCGAAAGAAGAGGAAGATGAACATGAGGAGGAGGAGGAGGAGGTGATCATACCATCTGCTGCTTTTGTTGCTGAGACTATATCGATGATTAAAAAGAAAGATAGAAAAGAAATTGATGAGATTTCAGACGTGATAACAAGAATCGAACAACAAGCTGCACCTAAAGTTAAGTTAAAGAAGAAAAAGGAAGAAGAAGAAGATGATGATGATGATGATGTTAAAACAAAAGATGGAATTGCTATAAAAGAAAAGATACATAAAGATAAGGATAAAAGTATTGATTTATCTGATATGTCGTCAACGTTGAGAAAAAAAATAATACCATCAGATGACAAAGATACGAGTTATAATAATTTAGAGTCAAGGCCACAACCATCATCATCACAACAACAAGAACAACAGCAACAACTGGTAGCCTCGAGTGAAACGTTGGATAAATCTGAAGAATCGTCGGATAAAATTTTCAAGAAAAGAATAAGAAGTGAGAAAGATGATGATGGTGGTCATGGTGGTGGTTCTTCTGGTGTTAAAAGAAGATCAAAGAGGAGATGTGACGTTGGAGAGAGGGATAGAAGATCTAAAGATGAGGAAGATAGAAAAATGAGTAGTAGGAGAAGGTCCAGGGAGGAGAGGAAAAGTTTAAAAGAACAGGAATGCATTGAGAGGGTCACTCAGTATCTTAGCAAGCATAGATCGTTAACAACATTTACCGATCCTTATTCTTATTCGACATTTGACGAGGACAGTTCGTTGTTACGCAGTTTGGACGACGAAAGGAAGAAACGAATTGAACGTGAAGCTGCTGATAAATTAAAAGAACAAGAAGACAAGGATGAAGAATTAAAATTTGAAGAAGAAATAATCGACGAATTTAGAGAAATAGAACAAGAAAAAGATAAAACTAGTACAAAACACGAACACTGTAAATTGATTAAAACAATTGGTGACGAACAAATGATAAGTGGTGTACATTTATCGGTGGATTCTATTAATTTTCGAGTGTTAGATACTAGAGGATTATCAGCGGAATATTTAAATAGATCATTAAAAACTTCAATATCCGATACGGAAGTAATGAAAGCTGCTACTGATACTACTACTACTACTACTATTAAACCAAGAGCAAGTTCGTTGAGAAAAAGGAAAGTTACTGTTTCAAGTGAATCTTCGAAAGAATCTCTTTTGGAAGAATCTAAGAAAGAAGTTAGAATAAGGGAAACTGTACAAGAGATATTTTTCGAGGATAATAATGATCAATTGTGTTCTAATTATCAATTACCGGAAGTACAATTGGTCAAAGCTAGGATAATTACTGCAGAAGAAGCAACACTCGTTAGATTGGAAAATACCGATGTGAATAAAGTTGAAGTTTGTTCACCTGCCGAAATTATTGTCGTTAAACAACCAGACGATATTTCGCAAATGGTTGTTGAAATTAATAAAAAAAAAAGATTTCAACTTCAATTACCAACGTTGGGTAAATCAACGTCGGAAAATAAATTGACGGATGACGGTGAGGATGAATTGGACGATAACAAAGTTTCGGAAAGAAACATTAAACCTGAAATACTTTTGGATCTATCCAAAGTATCGGAATTAGTTGATGATACTGTTACCAAGACTGACAAAGATAAGGATAATAAAGATAAAAAGTTACTCAGTAGGACAGGTAGTGAAGGTTCAAAGAGAGGATTTACCGGTGCGAAAAGTAAATTCCTTGATCAACAACGTGTAATTGCACCTATTAAGGTTGTTAGTGTACTATCATTGCCTAGTGAACCGGAACCGGAACTTACAACTTTGCCAAAGGACCATATAGTGATTCAAAAGGAACATTATGAATTAGGAGACGACAAATCAATCAACGAGTTCGCTAATAATGAATCAAGGTAAGCCAAAAAAATGTTTTTATTTTTCGTTTGTTCTTTTAACGCACCACCGTTAAAAAATAAATAATTCTTTGAAGGATAGGGGGTGGGATGAAGGGTGAAGGGAATACATAATTTATCTCGTCGCGTTCGTAAAGTGTGGTTGAAATTTTGATAACCTTTCGAAGTGGATATTATTGGGTCGAAAGTTCAAATGTTTCATGTTCATCCTAAAACTCATTCACAAGTTTTTGGAAAAGGGGAAAACTTAGGGAATTGTAGGGTTTGTTTTTTAAAGAATTTACTAAAGTTACGAGTGGGTTGGTTGAGAAAATATAAAAGGGGGAGATAAGAAGGGTCTTTTGATAAGGTGAAAAGAAAATGTCTACATTTAATGATGTGTCTAGTGATTCAGATAATAATAATAATAATAATAATAATAAAATAATATGATGATGATTTTAGTAACGGTGAAGGGTAAAATACAAAAATTAGGTTCTTTTAGAAATGGTTGGGAATGGTGGAAAAGGTAAGGGATATAATTTATAATCCGTTAATAGAGTTAGGGGAAAATCGGTAGCCTAATCGATTATTGCTAACGGTATGCACGACGACAGGCTTCGAACGTCGATTAACAAACAACGTTGTGTACATGTGTATATATATATATTTATATATATGTACTTCAGGTATATCGTAAATCTTGTCGGTCCCTTAGATTAGGGCTGGATTACACGTCTGCTAAAGTAGAATAGAATAGATGTATATATAGAGATAGCACAATTATTCTAAGGAATGTAGGTCATTTCTAGTAAAGCCGTGAAATGTTTTTCTTCTTTTTTTTTCTCTCTCTCTCTACTATCCTCGATGTCAAGTAAGGAAAAAGTTTTTTAATATTTTAGTATTTTTTAGTAACTATTTTTGTCAAGTATTGTATTATTATTAACTTGTAATGATAGTTATACAGTTTTTAACAAATAGGAGATGGGGTTCTATAAGTTAGGGTTCTATAATAATTATAATAAAAAGTTTTTTACTATGTTATCATTTTGTAGTTAACAGTTTAGTTATGTACTGTATTATTATTAACTTGTAATAATAGTATAATAAAATTTCTAACAAATAGGAGAAAGGGGTCTATAATTAATATTCGAATGATTATTGAATGCAAATATAATTTTTTTTTTTAATTTTATTTGAAATTTTTGTTAAAAATTGGAAAGAAAATATTCACATTCTTTTTTTTCAACATGATTGTTATTCTAATTTAATTTTATAGGTTTGTCTATTAAAAAAAAAAAAAAAAAGATATATGTATGTTCAATCAATTATGAAAACAAATATCATTTCTTTTTCTTTTTCTTTTTACTTTTTTCTTCTTTCGTATAATGATTTTCATTCAAGTTAACTTTTTCAACGTTTAATTAATTTAATAATACAAATATATTCTCTCGATTTTTTAGTACAATCAATCGTTTTATTTCGTACAAACAATATTTTATATTCCTATTAATTTGCATTTGTAAATGTAAATTGAGAAGAAATAAAATAGGAAAAACTAGAAAACAATTATTTATTGTTAGTTACGTTGATCATACGACTTCATTTGCAAACTTCTTATCTTTTCTTTTCTTTTCTTTTCTTTTTTGTGTTTGTTAAAGCAAATGTTTACGTACGTCTAGCTTAAGAATTGAATAATTTAGAATAACCTTCGTTTCGTTTTAGTATTACACTTACAACTTAACAATAAGCCTTAAATATAGTTAGTTTTTGTACGAAGTAAAATAGTTATGCAACAAACAAACAAGACGATATACTAAAGTATCGATTAAATTTAATTATGAACAATTAACTTGAAAACATATTTTTAAAATATTATTTCCATACGTAAACACCTAAATAATATAAATTTAATGTATAATACGTTACTAATGTTTTATTTTTTCAATTATAAAAAATACAATACTCCAATAGTATAAATATAATCGTAAAATGTGTCTTGTTACTTTTTTTTTTTTTTTAAAAACGTTTTAATGCACGAATTCGCGTTTAGAAAAAAATAAAATAAAATAAAAAAAATAAAAAAATACACTAATGTCAGTTAAATAAAAAGACAATAAACGATTTGAAACGTATACAACTTTTTGTATTATAAATCTTGAGAAGGATAAAATAGTTTGTACGTATGTGTTCATGTGTGGGTGTTTGTATGTGTGTATTTGTTTACGTGAGTGCATTAGACAAAGAAAGACAAATGATTGTTGGTTGTAATACTTAAGATTAGAAAGAGAAAGGAAGTTTCATATAAAGAATAGAAAAAGAAATAATATTAGTTTAAAGAAAAAGGTATGAAGGAGGTGGAGGTAGAGCAGGAGCAGGAGGAAGAGGAGGAGGAGGAGGAGGA